CCGCCACCGCCGCCACCCCCCCCACCGCCGCGACCCCCATCGCTGCCCCCACCATCACCGACTCCTCAAGTTCAGACGAGGGCCCCACCACCTAAGAGCGCCGGACGGTAAGAGTGGGATCTGGGGGAAAAATAAGGGAAGTGTTGCCACGTCACCCATGTTGCGTGAGTCGGCTTTTCATTGCGTTATTTACGAAAGTTTCGGTCTCAAACGCGGGGGAAGAGCCCGTCCGTAAAAGCCGGTGGAGGGCAGGGCCCCTAGGACGACCAATAGCAATCATTATTATTGTGGTGGTGGCGCCCCGGATGGTGGGGCGTTGGCGTCCCCTCCCGCTCGCCTGGGCTCGGAACGCGCCTGAGCGCGATGTGCCGCCTCCTGTGCCGCTTCCTAGACCTCCGAGAGAAAACTAGCCGCAGCTTTATCGGGCCTCCTCGACCATAAATAGTGCGCCTTTGGCGCCCTCGTAAGCCAACGTCCCCTTCGTGTTGATAAATCGAAGGGCCCCATAGGCCGGTGGGCACTTACAACAAAAGACATGCAGCTCTTCATCGACCATTCCGCAGTCACAAAGCCTGCATGCTCCCGCGGCAAACCCAGCGGCCATTGGGCCTGTTAGCTAACTTCCAGTTCCCAACATCCTAATAATTTTAAATGCATGAGGACATGGTGCGATGGCCTATATAGGCAACACAGCCCTGCGATGTGAGTGAGCAATCCCAGCCGTGCCCCCGTACTACTAGGAAATGCTCCCATTCTGTTCAGATACCGACATACGCCTTAATAACAGCATTCGGGTGAATCTGAGGTACACAGGTCGAGGGTTGATGAAATGTGGCGGCCTTTCTACTCGGTACCGAGTGGGGCCCACCCTGAGATCCATGCGGGTCACACATGTTGCCTAATTTGGCCTCGCCCCTGACCCCATACGGAACCATGACGGCGCCGCAGGTCCAAGCCGCCGCCGCCGCTTGTGCTGCCACCGCCACCGCCGCCACCGTCCCCGCCGCCGCCCCGTCCGCCGCCACCACCGCCGCCATCGCCACCACCGCCGCCACCGCGGAA